AAGAGTGTAGAAGCTTTTAATCCAGATACAAATCAATGGACTTCAGTTAGTGATATGGCTCTTTGTCGTAGAAATGCTGGTAAATATCCTTATTTTTAATTAACAATACTAACTAATTAATGAAGATATTCTTGTAAAATATAACATTCTACAAGTACATTAATACTCTTTAGCTTTTTTACAAGAGGAGCTTATGAAATATACCCTGCACTTTTTGTTCAAATTTTTTTGAGGTATAGAGAATTACATTCACAAAGAAGTACAGAGTACTTTAATTCTATTTAAAAAAAAAAATAAATTATTAAAGATGCGAAAATTTTAGGTAATAAGTATCAACACTGCATCATGATTTCTTCTTGCAAATATGATATAATATAATAGGCAAATAAATATTTCTGTCTCTTAGGTGTTGTTGCGCTAAATGGTCTTTTGTATGTGGTTGGTGGTGATGATGGTTCATCAAGTCTGGCATCTGTAGAAGTATATAATCCAGGAGCAGATACCTGGACAACTCTTCCAACTTGTATGGGAATTGGTCGTAGTTATGCAGGAGTAGCTATAATCGATAAACCAATGCCGTCTACAACATCGATGTGAGGATTACAATCCGCTGGGCATATATTAGAACAGAATATAGACCCGGGTGCCGAAATGTCGGACCCTCGGGAAGTCGGGCCCAGCGGTGTGCAAGTCCAGAATCCAGACCAGAATGTACTTCAGCAATATCGTGGTGCTGGGCATAACTGTCAAGGTCCACGTTGTGTATGCCAGCGATATGAAAATGGTGAGGTGGCAGCTGCAGTCATGAACCAGAGTAGGAATAATCAGGAAAGAGATGATAGCTATCAAAACATAGGTCGTGGTTCATGGGGCTTTCAAAACCGACCTGGTGGCTCGGTACAAATGCACTCAAATCTCAACCCAAATTATCAAAATCCAGCAGATTTGGTTCATAATTACAATCGCAATCGACAACTACAGGAGCCAGAAGAAAATATTTATGAGAGATTGGATAATGATGATGACGATGATGAAAATACTGAAAATAACAGTGAAGTTGTTCATAATGAACCCACAGTTCAAAGTAATCAGAATAACATAGATGATCATACATATGAAAGAATAGATGATCGATATTCTTGTGGTAGTAGAACGTATCCTCGTTGTTACAAATATCATATTTTAAATCATTATATTCCAAGTTTTTTAAATGACATGGAATCTAGAAATCAATATGACCAACTAAGGCAATTTTATTTGGATTCATCACGATTATCTAATCAATTTTGTCAAAATAGATTAGGTAGGCTAGGTCGTAACTGTTTTTCAACTGAAAACATTGCGTACGCGTCAACTGGACGTGCCATTTATTCACTTGGTTATAACTGTATGTGTTCGTTTTGTAGACATATAGACACTAGATATTTGTGTCATTACTGCCATAACTTGCATAACAGATTACGTTATCAAGAAGGATTTACGAATAATTCTAGACATTACATATATCAGTTACCGAGAAATTGTAGATGTCCTTTCTGTCGTGGTGAATATTCTTATGTGAAACTACCCGTTACATCTTGTCGACCTAACGAATCTTTAAGAATGGACTGTCATTGTAGAAATCCTAGTAATTGTTCTTGTAGAAGTAAAGTTCTTCCTAATTCTAATTCTTCTGCTCAGTTTAATAAATATCTTGATTGGATTAGTAGAGGTAGTCCATCAGTTAATAATCCACTTTATGCTACAGTTCATATTGGTAGACCCTGTGTTTCTGCTCTTGGAAGCACAGCTGGTGGAGGAAATTTATCTAATAGTGTAGACCCTGGTGCTTCAATGTCAAATACAATGCCTTCTACAGTCAATGAACCTAGTACATCATCAAACATTAGGTCAATGTTTTCTTCACATAGTCCTTCCACTTCACATCCTTCTGTTTGTTCTGCTAATTGTTCAGGACGTCAACATACGTGTGACGATTCTTGCATTAGAAATCAAAGTGGCAGTGTTACTGGAATTTGTCAATTTCTTGGTAGGTGTGAAAGAACAGAATGTAATCATGGTAGATTATCTGTGCATTGGTGGTTCGTAAATAGATGGTTACCAACTTGGAATCCTCATTACTTTGACAGAAACATGGATACTGTTCCTCCAATGGAAGAAGAACCACGAGAGCAGCAAGAAAGTGATAGTGATGATACTTAATATCAGAATTTCTACTTTATTGCACTCTTTATATGATTAAAAAACCCAAATTTTTGTTGTATTTTGATGTATAGATTTTTATAATTATCAGATATTAATTTTTCATAAATATTGTTATTATTTCTGAATCATAATTATTGAAATAACATGAAACTCAATATTTTTGTTCCTTTATTTGTTAAAAAAAGACAGTGATAAAACTAAATAATGTTATATTTTGTGATATATAATTAAAAAATATGTTTATCTCGATCAATATAATCATGGTATTGATTATAGTATATTTAATGTTTCGTTTATTATTGTTTATTTTGTTAAAAAATTAAAAAGTTGTAATTAAAAATTATTAAGTCACTATCATTTAAAATTAAAGGATCACTACTTGAAAGATAAAAATATTTAAAGATAATGTATGCATGTATTGACAATAAGATTGCTTTATATGTGCACTGATAATTTAAGATGCTCATACTTTAATGTATACAAATTTCAGTCACATGATCAGAATTATAAAATAGATAGGATGCAGCAATAATCAAAGTTTTATTTCATGAATATAACTTTATATGAACTTAAGAAGCTATTTGATCCAATGGTTTTTGATTTATTTATAACAATTTTGAACAATGAATAACAGTTGAAACAAATTTATTATATTAATTTTAATAAGTAATTAATTACATATATTATAGAATAACTTTAGGAGTTGTGTGTTTTATATATATATATATATACATAGAACATATAAAATTATAAAATTATAAGAATTGTATAAAAATTGTAATTTTTATAATTCTATTTCGTATATGTACGTTCTTTGGGCATCATTGTTGATCCAAAGAGAGAATGCTTTTGTCATATTTTTTCAATTTTAGTAATTAAGATATTTCGAGACAAAATACAAATGCATTCTTTCAAAAACTAAAGAAATAAAAAAAAATTAAAATTATTATCTATTATTTTTAGGAAGCATTTTATATTTAATATTGCAGTAAAATATGTTAAATATGATAAGCTTTAGTTTATAGTTGATAGTAATTGTAAATACAAATTTGTAATAATCACCATTTATAAAGAATGTCTTTAAAAATGAATCCGAATGTTTTTATATATGTGATTTATGTCTTGAAAAACAAAACATATTAAATTATATTACTTACATACAAATTAAGTGTTATTAGCCAGTATTAAGTTGTTCTAGTAAAGTTTTAATTAATGAATATTTCATTTTCATTTTATTTAATTATATGTTAATTGTTATTAGTTTTATTGATTGAATAAGTTTAAAAATCTAATTCAACATTAATCTAAATTTAGTATTGAAAGATATAAGTGTAAGTGTATTGGTTTTATTGAAGTGAAATAGAGTGTTTAAACTTGTAAGGATAACTTTGCACATATCCTTGAATGTGTTATAACTTGGAAACTAATCCTTAGGTAGGATTTATAATATATTTGCGCCTAACATTAATTTTTAAGAAAATATATTGGATTAGTTTCTCAAATTATAACATAAAACCAGATAGATTTGCCAAATGTATATTTATTTTTTCTATTTAGTAATTAATATCAACATTGTAGTAAATGTTTAAATAAATAAAATATATTATACAAAATTGTACATAAAAATAGCCTTTTCTCGGAAGTTATAGAAGGACGTAGACACCAAAATTGTTATTTTAAGTTTTATTTTGTTTCCCTATTTAATCGATCGAAACTATTGAGTAATAGGTTCGTTAAACATTATAATAAATATACGAAGTTTCTCTTTTAAAATTTTTTAATCGATATTTATGTGTTCTAAACTTTTATATATTAAATCGAGTCATTTCAATATTTCATTAACAATTATAACATTATTATACATACGATATTTTGAAAGTTTTACAAAGATTTAATGTGAAATATGTTTATTATGAAAGGAATTTAATCGATACTCATAAGTTTATGTTTAAACGATGTAATGAACTTTTAAACTAGTAAATATAAATCAGAAAGTTATATAAGGTACTGATATAATGAAGTATAAATTTTGTACTCTGTTGTAAAACTGTGATAATAAAATACTAAATAGAATGTAAATGTTAATAAGTATATGTGTATACCTATATGTTTGTTTGTAGAAATATTGTTTGCACTATTGCAGTAGCTTTATAAGTATCATGCACTAGCGGCAAACGGCATAGTATATCGGGTTCAAATTGTAATACAATTAGTATACATCGTGACGCTTTTGCAAGAGTAAATGCCTCTACAATCGATATATATATATATATATACATCTATAGCTACTTTAAGAAAAGTTGATCACTCCCCCATAAGCGAAGGCCAACTGCTATCACTTTGGTCTTACAATGGTCCTAATATCGATGTATTGTTATGTGTCATTAAATCTCCTGGTTACGTGTACTTTTGTCTAATTCGTCACATACTAAAAATAAATTAGTTATACGAAGTTTTGCCAAAGTAAGAACTAATATGAATAGAAAATTAAATTACAAGTTATTTGAATAAAAATATATTCTACGTTATTTGAGAATAATTTAAGCATTTCGACGTCGACACATGAACACTTACAATAGGATAAGAATTTTTTATAATATCGGATTGAATGTCATTTGGGGTGTGGCCGTTGTGACATTTCCGTCTTAGAGTTATCATGAATTCACACGTAAAGTGTCGTAAACAAAATTTATGCGCCCAGTTCACCGAGAATGCTTCAGGGACGTCAATTCATGGTGGCCATCTTTAAGAGAATCGTCCCTTTGTGCACCGACAACGAACGTGACCTGCAAAAACGATGAATATTTCGTGTTGTCACAGGACCAATGTTGTAAATGCTTGAACGACGATAAACGCCATTGTGTTTCTGACGCTACGGAGTATAGTACACGGTTAGAAGAACTTATCTTGGCACCACGGGTATTCAAGTATCACGGGTGTGGTTCTCATGGCCAAACGCACTCAGATACGACGATACTTTGTTCGAATAATAGCTTAACCCTTTCTGCGTCAAGAATTTGTCGTTTATTTTTAATAACATTTACGTTTGTTTATATATCCTTCCTGTGATTTGCATACATTTTATCTATTTGGTAAATATCATTACACCGACGATTGTTAATTTTGTCAGCAATTTTCAGGACGTTTACGGTATTTTCAAGAGACATTCTAAAGTTGATGCAGGCCTATGTATCGTATGGAAATTATTCCTGTGAAATATATATGTATTATAAGAAACATAAAAAGAACAAAATAGAATTTTCTAATTTCAGGCATTTAAAATTAAAAAGTTTGATAAATATAAAGTCTCTCTAAAGAAATAGTATTTAATAGCTTTGAATCGCAAAATTAATAATTAATAGTATATTAATATCAAAGAATCATTCTTTTGCTCCAAATATTTTTA